CTGGATGATGTGTGTGTGTGTGCTGGATGATGTGTGTGTGTGTGTGCTGGATGATGGGTGTGTGAGTTCTGGATGATGTGTGTGTAGTTCTGGATGATGGGTGTGTGTGTGCTGGATGATGGGTGTGTGTGTGCTGGATGATGGGTGTGTGAGTGCTGGATGATGGGTGTGTGAGTGCTGGATGATGTGTGTGTGAGTGCTGGATGATGTGTGTGTGTGCTGGATGATGGGTGTGTTGGATGATGGGTGTGTGTGAGTGCTGGATGATGGGTGTGTGTGAGTGCTGGATGATGTGTGAGTGCTGGATGATGTGTGTGTGTGTGCTGGATGGTGGGTGTGTGTGTGCTGGATGATTGGTGTGTGTGTGCTGGATGATGGAGTTGTGTGAGTGCTGGATGATGTGTGTGTGTGCTGGATGGTGTAGTGGAGTGGATGTGTGTGTGCTGTGTGTGCGTGTGCTGGATGATGTGTGTGCTCGCTGGATGACGTGTGTGTGCTCACTGGATGATGATGTGTGTGTGAGTGCTGGATGATGGTGTGTGTGTGTGCTGGATGATGTGTGTGTGTGTGTGCTGGATGATGTGTGTGTGAGTTCTGGATGATGGGTGTGTGAGTGCTGGATGATGTGGGGGGGGGAGCATTTTTTTTAACTTTATGTGTCTATATATTTTTTTATTTTATTCCCCCCTCCCTGCTTCTTACCTTGTCAGGGAGGGGGGAGATCGCCTGGTGGTCCGGTGGTATGCTGGAGGGAACCAGCCGCTGCACAGAGGGGCCATCACACGCTGTGTTCCCTCTCCAGCTCTAACTCTCGCGAGACTCGCCTGTGCGGAGCGTTGCCATGGTAACAGCCGCGGGTCTCGCGAGAGTTATAGCTGGAAAGGGAACACAGCGTGTGATGGCCCCTCAGTGCAGGGAGCAGGGCCGGTCCTGCAGGACAGGTAACGGGAACGGCGTTCCTGCTGTGGAAAAAGTGCAGGAACGCCGTTCCCATGCGTTCCTGCAGGACTCGAGCCCTGCACTCACACTAACACACACATACACTCACACTAACACACACATACACTAACACACTCTAACACACAAATACACTAACACACACTTTTTTTTTTCAAATTTAATCCCCCCAGCCTCCTTACCTTTTGGAGTGCTGGGGGGATTCCCTGGGGTCCAGTGGTGCTGCTGGGCTCCTGGTCACTGGGTGGACGGGCTGCCTGGCCGGCCGGCGCGCAAGGGAGCACTTTCCCCAGTGTGCTCCCTCTTCAGCTCCCTCGCGCGCCGCGTAGGGATACCGGCGCCGGAAGATGACGTCATCTTCCGGCTCCGGCATCAGTGCGGTGCGCGAGGGAGCTGAAGAGGAAGCACTGAGTGCTCCCTCGCGCGTCCGCCTGGCCACCCGCCCAGGAGCCCAGCAGGGCCAGCCTCGGGGGGCCCTGGTGTGGCCGGCTCCTGGGCCCCCCAGGAGAAGAGGCTGGCCCTGTGGCTACATACCGGGTCGCAGGGGCGGCCGGGCCCCCTGGTGGGCCGGGCCCGGTCGCAGCCGCGACCCCTGCGACCCTGGTATGTACGCCACTGAGCATGATAATGATCCTAAGCACAAGGCCAAGTTGACCATCCAGTGGCTACAGCAGAAAAGGGTGAAGGTTCTGGAGTGGCCATAACAATCTTCTGAGCTTAATATCATCGAGCCACGCTGCGGAGATCTCAAACGTGCGGTTCATGCCAGACAACCAAAGATTTGCGTAAGCTGGAGCCAGTTTGCCAAGACGAATGGGTAACTATACCACCTGCAACAATTAGGGGCCTCATAGACAACTAATACAAAAGGCCGCACACTGTCATTGATGCTAAAGAGGGCAATACACCATATTAAGAACTATGGGTATGCAGACTTTTGAACAGAGGTCATTTCATTTTTTGCTTTGTTGCCATGTTTTGTTTTATGATTGTGCCATTCTATTATAACATACAGTTAAATATGAATCCCATAAGAAATATAAGAAATGTGTTTTGCCTGCTCATTCATGTTTTCTTTTAAAATGGTGCATAAATTACCAATTCTCCTGATGTAGATTAATTTAGAAATAAACAAAAATGTTTAAAAGTCTATCTGTTCCTGTCCAAATCTGAGATGAATAAATTGTGTATACGCAGAAGTAAGTTCACACTGACACATGCAGTTCAGGTTAAAAACACTTCAGGAAATTTATTAGCATCTAGTTAAAAAGCGGGCACGCAGGCCTTTTTATATGCAAAATGACATCATCATTGAATATCAGATAATAACAAATAAACATCATTAATTGGGTTAAATGTTAAGTGGCTATGTCAGTGTCCACCCATTAATATTATTAATTGGCTCAGAGATTTGAGTGACTAGTGAGGCACCCTCCCATCATGGGATGTCGTCGCCATTGCTCTTTAGCACGAGGCTTACTCGGTGGAAAGGGGGGCTTGGGCGTCATTTTACGTAGTTAGTGATGTCAGTCTCGTGGTCTGTTCCAAGGTTCTTTTATGAATAGAACATTTCATTTTGTCACTGTTCTCCTGGCCTTGGATTATACTATGTTGCAAGTCAACGGAGATCCGCTAACTCCGGGGCTAGTTATGTCCTTAGAGAGAGAAAATACAATCTCTTATTCATTATACTGAATACTGTCAGGAAATTCTGTCATGTAAGGTGAACAAAATGGAGTTAGTACAATAATTCAATACAGGTTCTAATAAAGATTTTAATAATTCTACATCACTCCAAGGGTATGCAAACATTTGAGCACAAATGTAGCTGCCAGAGTAAATATTCATCATTTTCTATACCTGTCTCCAATACGGTTGTATATTTGTGCATCCCCGCCATAAGAAGTGTCCTGACCAAACCTCCAGCAGGTGTCAGAAACTCCAGGGAATATCTTGAGAAGAAGATGGAGCATGCGATACCATCTTGACATAAGTTTGTAATTTGTTTCCTGTATCGCCAAACTATTGGATGAACAATGGAGCAGAATGCATATTCTTTGCCACTGTTCCTTTGAGAAGACTGGCTCCAGGTTGTCCTCCCAGCACTCTATACTTTGGGTGGGTGGTCATGTCGAGGTATCCAGTATGGTATAGATATGACATGTTGTAGTTGGGTGCCCAGTGAGCACAGGGGTTTGAAATGTGTATTCTCTTTGTGAATGCCATCCTGCCTCTGTAAGGAATTCTAGAAGTCTTTGATCTGATGCAGTATAAAATGTTCCAGAAGAAAACCACTCAAATTCCCTGGAAACAGCTCTAAAGTGCACAGGTCATTCAGTTTGCATATATCAGCCAAGCAGATTATGGGGGCCCCTCTCCCAGAAACCCCAGAGCTGTTGAATGAATCCCTAGAGGGTAGTCTGAGTTAAACACAAGCAGGAAAAGAGGCGAGAAAGAGGAGAGAAAAAAAAATGTATCCCTGCATGAGAATACAACAAAACTGCTTAATTAAGCTTAAGTTTTTTTTGTGCCTCTAATATCTCTTTAATACCTAGATATATATAAAAAAAATGCAAACATGTATTCTTGACACTATAGTGTTTAAGTCTTTAGGTTCCCAGCCTCCCTTAGATCGCTTAGGAAGGCTTTTGCACATGCACGGCACAACACCATGCTGCACCAATAAGCATCTCCTCTGAAAAGACTGCAGAGAGAGGCTATAAACACTAGAACCATTATATTAAAGGGACACTGTAGGCACCCAGAACACTTTAGCTCACTGAAGTAGTCTGGGTGCAATATCCCATGTCCCTTAACACTACAGTGGTAATTTTTTCAGTTTCTGAGTAACTGCAATAATTACCTCTGAGGGTTAACTCCTCCTCTAGTGGCTGCCTACCAGACACCCACTAGAGGGATCCCCAGAATCTGAGTTATCTGACGCTAGATGTCCTCACGCTCTGCATGAGGACCTCCAGCATCAGATTTCTTCCCATAGGAAAGCATTAAAATGATGCTTTCCTGTGGGGAAATTCTAATGCGAGCGCGGTCATTGCCGTGCATGCGCATTAGGTCTCCCCACCGCCTTCAGACGAGAAACATAGGCGGGTTTGTTTCCCTTTAAGCTGTAGTGATTCTGATTACTATAGTGTCCCTTTAAACTGCAGAACATATTACTGCCTGCTGCACTTTTAATACAGCTTTATGAGAAACAGTAAAGTAACAAGGAATTAGGAATCTAGATAAATGTTATTTTTACAGAATATAATTATTTTGTCAAAAGGAACAAAAGTCTGAATTGACCTTGCTAGAAAGCACACCCGTGACACCACAGCTGGTACCCTATCCACTGAACTATCTCATTGGCTAACAAAATCCAGAGGACAAATATGTTGTCAGTCTCCAACTAATTGGAAGGCAGTCTAGTAATTTCTGGCTTGACCTGTAAACATATAAAATAATACACTCATGTAGGTCCCAATGAATCCTTTGTTAAAACATAAGGCATCTGTTACAACGTCGGCCAGTTGAAACACAGATCTCATTGATACATAGCGTTGGGGGAGTCTCAAGGGGTTTACGCTCAGAATTAAGAGGAAGCAAAAAAAAAATACCCTTGTGTGGAGAAAGACACATTCTCTTTGTTGA